CATCATCTTGTTCACCTAATACTTCCTTTCTTGTTATTAGATTTTCTCCCTTGTTTATTCTATTTGGTCATATTGATAAATTCAAAGCTAGTCAGCTTGAATAAGTAGTAATGAATTTAGAAGACTAATAAAGCAATTTAGATTTTCATTTTAGTAATTTCTTTTTGTTTAATTAGTTATAAATATATGAAGAACTTTTAATTCAACTTTATCTAGGAATGAGCACTATTTCTTTCAATTGTATTTTTAACTTACATAATCTTTTATCCTACTTAAAGAGTGGGTGGATAGATCGTTTTTAAATAAACAGACATGTTTGTCATTGACTTCTACAGTAGCCAGTGTTAAAAACATACTACAGAGATAAGCTGATCAAACACAATCAGTTCCAGAAACTAGTGATCACTATAGACAGTAAGTTGGTGAAATACACATTTGAAATATGTTGCAATTTTTAACAGATTTCTGTGGTCCATATTTTACTCTCATGTTGATGTGTTGTGCAATAGTTTTTTTTAAGCAGTCTTCCTATGCACCATTCATTTTTATTTATTTGCACAATTATTTGCAAGTGTGATAGAATGAAAAGTGATTGTTAAGGTTAAATTAAGATGGAATATTGCTTATAGATTATTCTGAAAGTTATTCACTTGAAACAAATAAGACCATTGTGACCGCTGTTGTCTCTTATTCACTGTTTTTTAAATTATAAATGATATATTCATTTTGAATCAATAAAGACACAAAACATAAATTGTTGTTTGTTACATTTATTGATACCTTTTAGAATGATAGGAATAAACTAGATTAAATAAAATGTTTATAAAATACACTTTTAATAATACCATAGTTTTTTAATTGCTGTTTTATGGCTTTTATTAAACATTTGTTATAAGCTTTTTTTTTTAACTTTTTAATTGATTCTCTGTGGATATCCCATCATGCATCCTGATTCCATTCATTGCCCCTTCCCCTTCCCCTTGCTTCCACCCTCTGTCCTTGCAACTTCCCCCCAAAAACAAAATTTAAAAGTAAAAACAAAGTCTCAGCATGGAAGCCCAGTGAGTCACACAGTGACTTTAGTGCGTCCATCTTTACTTGTATGTGTTCATAACAATGAGTCATTGGTCTGGGTTGAGGCCTCTGGCTCCTGCTACACTATTGACACTGGGCCCTCACTGGGACTCCTCTTGGATATCCTATTGTTGTCCTGTGTCATGGAGATCCTGTAGCTTTGGATCTGCAGGTCCAGCCCCTTCACATGCTCCAGCAGTTCACAGATGTAGTGGGTGTTGGGATAGGCTACCTTCTTTCTGGTCCTGGTTCTGAGCCTGGGTGGTGGCTGGTTTGGTCAGCCTGCAAGCTTTCCCTCAGCGTCACTCCCAGATGATCTTTCCAGCACTTCCTCTGCTAGTTCACCTAATGTAGCAGACAGCAAGGAGAGGGCCATTTCTCCTGGTGTTCACACCCTTGGGTCCAGCCCACCTCTACTCACACCATCAGGGCCAGCTCTGCTGTTTTGCCCAGGTGAGTTACAAGGCCCACTGTCTGGATTGCTGCAGTTGGTGAGGGGCAGGGCCAACTCTTTCACTCTCATGCCCCCAGGTTGGCTCCCCTGATGCAAGTGGCAAAGAATTGGTGAGGAAGGGGCTCTACTGCTCCTAAGCCTGCAGGCCTGGCTCACCCATGCCTGACAACAGGGTCAGCTCTAGTGTGCAAGGTGTCCTGTTGTAGCACTACTTTTCTTTGGGCCACCAGCTCACAAAGAGTGACATGGAGACTTGGCTTTAATTATGAAAGCTTGGCCTGTAGCTCAGGCTTGTTCTAACTACCTCTTATATCTTAAATCAACCTATTTATATTAATCCACGTTCTATCACATGGTGGTACCTCTCCCATCTTGTACCTCCTGTTTCATCTCTGTGTCTCCTGGCTTCTCCTGCATGCGTGGATTCCTCCTCATCTTCTTTTCTCTCTCTGGAAATCCCACCTGTATCTCCTGCCTGACTCTTGGCCATTCAACTTTTTAATACACCAATTACAGCAATACATCTTCACATAGTGTACAAGTATCCCACAACATCAGGCTGCTATCCTGTGTGCTGCAGCTGGTGATGGGCAGGGACAGCTCTCCCACTGTTGTGGCAGGCTCTCTCACCTGTGGCAGGTGGCAAGGATCAAGGGGAGGGGCAGCATTTTTCTTCTTTTAAGTTTTGTAAGGTATAGAAATACTGCTTTTATACCCAACAAAGTTTTAAAATTGAAAGCAGTAATATTTCTAGATAAATACTATACAATTTAATGGAAAATATTTATAATGAGTCAAGACTAGACCATAATTTAAATTTTAAGACAAACGCTATATCTAATGAAAATATGGCTATTAGATGTTTCATTTGTATTCGATTTTTTCCTAAACTAAAAATGAATGCTTTTTCACTAGGAATAGAAGCTCAAACAATAAAAATCTAATAGGAAAAAAAAACACAGACTTCATAACAACACTTGGCTATTTATTTATGTTGAATATGAATGTATTTTATGTGGTAAATATATCTTCAGTACTGAGGTCATTTGATTTTTGAAATGGATTATGTTATTGAGTATATCTGGGAAAAGCTTAAATTAGAACACTCGTTTTATTTTTACTTGGAAACATTTTGATGAAATATTTAAATACTGATTATTAAAATACTTTCTCTTATATGTATATTGCTTTGGTTGCCACTAGAGGGTGCTTTTGTATAATTTACAATTCCCAGATTCCAGTTAGTTGTAAAGGTCTCTCGGTTTTGATTTTGAGACATGAAATTTTAGGGATTTATGAGTAATTCTTTGGTGCTTGTGTCACTTTTAGAAATCTCTATATTGATACCTTGAAGAGCTAGTGTAAGCCATTGGGAGCGTCACCCTGGGAGTAATTTAAAGCAATAGTCAATATTGCCTTTCAACAATTTTTAGCAAAACGCCATTCTAGAATATTGCCGGCTGGCTGTTGCTTCAACGTTTCACCTTAGTTGTACATGAACATGACGTGTAAAGATAACAAATTTATATTTAATTGTGGAGAAAAATGCTTTTAAATTGTGCATAAAGTACTCCAATTGTGTTAAAACTGTACAAATAAAATACATGAAACATTTTTTCCTATATTTTGCTTGCTTCTACTAGGATATTTGGTGAATTTTATGTAAATTTCATACATTGTGGACTGTCTAAATGAATATGTAGTATATTTATACACTTTATGAAGGAAATAGTTTTATAGTTTTCAGAGTCAAGTGTGACTATGTCTTATCTAAAACTGCCACTTTTCTATTGAATTCAAGCATACACAGGTGTAAATGCTGCCTTTGTGCGCTGGGTTCGCTAAGTAATTTTTGCAGTAATTTACTGTGAAAAATGCAGTTAAACCTAAGTACTATTTTAATGAAAAATTTCTGAATTTTACTCAAGAAACTTCTAAACAGTCTGTTTTTGTTTTTTGTTTTGTTTTGTTTTGTTTTGGTCATACTCTTTCCTTTTAAGTGAATTTTACTGTACTTGAAATAAGAATTAAACTTAGTTGGAATAGCTGGTAGGTGTTTGTCTTGTTTCTATTGACCGAGTTGTGCAGCTGTGAAATAATTCAAAATTTTTTCTGCTATTGTTTTTGTCTCTCAATTATTTTGGTCAAGAATATACTTTAAAAAGTAGAAAGTTATTTTGTTTAACAGTCTCCCCAAACTCGCACTACTTATAGGGAACTATCATATAAACCTCACAAGAAAGGAATTTTAAATTTTATTTTAAACACTACTTTCTCAACTCTTTGTAAAGATGCCACTTAATTAGTATTTCAAAGTAATTAAACAGTTTTAGGATACAATGGACTATAAGATAAAATCAAAACACCAATTACATGAGCATGGCATTTCTGCCCTTCTTGGTCCATTTAGTAAGTATTGTCATAGTTCTCTTGTGTCTGTAGAATAACTGATTCTCCCTGATGATGTTACCAGGGAGCTCCTTATTATGGGTAAGAGACCTAGACTCACTACCAGTATTTAAGTAGAAGACAAGAAGCAATATAAGAAATTAAACATTCTCTAAGTAATAGTTAAAAGTAAAAAAGATTGGCTATGTGGTAGATTTTAAACTTAAATTTTGTTATCATTTATAATGAACATTTTGTGTTCGTATGGCTAGTCTCTTGAAAATCCTCCTGCATTTGGTGAGTTTTCTGAGTTGGATTTTCTCACTGCCGCTAAATCATAGTCAACTTAGCTTTCCATCCTTTCTTGCTTTCTTGTAATAAGATTATGACTTTGTGACTAGGAAACAACTGAGCAGGTATGTATTGAGATTCTCCAAAAGAGAACTAATAGGAGTGTGTATGTGTAGTGTGTGTGTGTGTGTGTGTGTGTGTGTGTGTGTGTGTGTGTGTGTGTACTAGAACATATACGTATATTGTAGTATAGATATGTATGTGTACTTGTATAAATCCACAGAGACTTACTAAATTCATTTTCCACATCAGAGGCTGAATCTGCAGTCCCATCAGAGTTCACCTCTGAGTCACACAGTGGCCATCTGTAGGCTGAAGAGCATACATGTTGAATGAACTGTTGGAGCAAGAATTTTACCAACAGTTCAAGTCTTTCATGAATAAATAATTAAAACCAAGGAAGAAATGTTATAGCCTTTAATAAGCATTTAAATATTGTACTTTATTTTGCCATAGTCAGAATATTTTTCAGTGTTGATAGGGAGCATTACAGACATCTTGCATGTTTAGAGTTGACCGTTAGATGCAAATGCCCTCAGGTCCCTAGCTAATGGCTTATTCATTCTACCAGTTCTTCAAGGTAGAGGACTACCATGTAGTAGATCCTATTTTATCATGAAACATAACCCACTTAGCAGAGTCTGATAAAGAAACTGAATTCTTAAAGTATAATTTGTTCCTGACAGTTTGAGAGAACTGTTTTTTTGTTTTTGTTTTTGTTTTTTTCAAACAGTGATTATGAAACAAACTTTAAACAATCAATTCTTCTCTCAAAACTGTGTTCATGCCAGCTGTCTGTACCATTGAGGATGAAGTCCATATGGGTTGGGGAAGAGGAAGAGCAAGAGGATGTTGCCACCCCACATGGAACGTCACTGGAGCATGTGTGGATTGCATACAAACATCCAGCCCACAGCTACATGCTGAAGTGGCTGGGAAGAGCAAGAAGAATGTGAGTTCAGCAAAGCAAACTGTCATCTCTTTTAGAAATTTGGCCTCTGCTGGGTAGTGTTCTCCCTTAAAATTGAATGAAGACCACAGGCCTTTCAAATGATTTTAACAGGTGTATACATAGAATATACAGAGGCGTCTTTTCAATGAGAGTCATTTAATGTAACAAAAATAAGTGTTCCCAGCTGAACATATTGGCTTATGCCTGCAATCTGAAATGGGAGCATCATAATTTCAAGGCCAGCCTGAGGTACAAATGAGACACCATTGCAAAACTAGAAATTGGAGTTTCCTCTTTTAACGTAGTTGTGGGGGCTGTGCCATGCTGATTCCTGGACCAGTGTGTTGATGGTATGTATTGAATGAAAGTAGGATCAATGGCAGTGCACAATGATTAAGTGAGCCTGACAGTGTTAACACATACATCATTTATTTTAAAAAGAGAAACTATTCAAAGTAGGCAATTGGTAGTATTGTATGAAAATATTTTATATAAAGGTAATGTCAAAATTAAATATATACATTAATTAAAAGTCTAACATATATTATTTTCTTAAAATATACTTCCCAAATTGAAAATTCAGTTAAACAAGCTTTAGTATACATAAATGACAAAAGTGACTGAATACTAAAGTTCAATATCTTTGGACTAAGTGCATTTCTGTCTTTAAAAATTCTTTTATTTAAAAATATGTGCTATGCTCTTTACTGAACGTATGTGTTATACATTCATGTTTAACTACATTTCTTGATATCTGTCTTAAGTGCCTTAAGCTTTTTTTTGTAATTTTTTCTTTTTTCTTTTTGCTGCTGCTGCTGCTTTAGGATGTGACTCTTGTTGTCGTGAGCATTATCCATCACTGTGAGCCCTCCAGCATCTCTATCATGTAAGATGACAGTTCCACTCTTCAGATTGTTCACTGATGCCCAGTGGACCATAACATCATTTTGCTGATGAATTCTTAGGTTTTATTTTTGTAGGTTTGATATCTTCTGAAATATTTGGAAAAGGTTTAGAAAGTATTGCAGATAACATGATTGCCTTACAACATCAGTGCAGTCGATATATGTCCATATGTATATTCTGACTGCAGCTATCAGTTACAGATTGTTTGTGTCCATTTTCTAGTACCTCATTGTGGATTTCCCAGTGGCTCTGGTCATTTGACCAGGAGGCATCCAGCAACTTCTGAGGAGATTTCATTTCCTCAAAATGTATCAACCGGTAGATTTTTGGAGACTGCAATTGCATGTCCTATGTTTATATACTGCCCTTCAAAATTTTATTCCAACAAGTTTTTATCTCTCTCAGTAGTCTCTTTAGGAAACATGGGTCATTCTTTTTCTGTTCCTTTAAATTCTTTTCTTCCTAGAAAAATAAATTCATAAGATTTAATTTAATTTAACTCTTTGATATAACATGTCTCAAGACATTTGCATTTTATTTTTCATCATATTAGATTATACCTAATATTTAGTATACCAGAATGAAGACTCTTGCATGCCATCTTAAAACTATGACCTATGGTGATAATTATGATTTCTGACTGACAGGAAAGTCCAGGCTACTTAAGCTTAGTGTATCATCTGCCATTTTCACCCTGCATCAGTGGACTCCTATAAATGATACATATTTTACATCATTTAATTGAACTTCTTTTATGAAAAAAATTAATTTTAGTGAAAAGATTTAACACTGAAAATATTTAGATTAATAATAATTTGTCTGATTCAACTGATATCTTAGAGTCTGCTACAAAAACTTAGTGTTTACTGAAGTATTGCTGCCATCTGCCTTCTAAGTTGATCTTGTCACCTCATTAAGAACTTTGAAAGGCTACTGGTACAGTGTTGAGAAAATGGAGAGAGATGCCTGCATACAGCAGATACTGGAGAGCAACAGTCATATTTCCTCTGAGCCGTGTGACATGGTAGGATGATTCCTCATTTAATGAAGAACCAGTTATTGAATATTTTCTGGGCCAGATATTACTCTAAGTATACCACATACTTTATTCTGTTTACTTGGTAACCCCATGACCTTGATGATTTCACCTCTGTCCAAAAATGAGGATATTAAGTCACAAAGAGGTAAGAGCCAGTGTGACATGGATACATCTTGAGCTCATTTTTTAAATTTAGTCACAAATTCATATCTCTGTTAGTTATATACTTAAGTAACAGCAGCATGTGGCTTTTAAGTAACTTCAGAGAGTGTATAAGAGATTTTGAAGATAGATATGGGGAAACTTTTCATTAATCTTTTCAGCGGGGACACCAGAGCATTTTTAAAGAACCAATGGAAGTTCCCTTGACTACTGTATTTGAATAAGAGAAAGGCAATTGGTACTTCCATGGCCTTAGTGTAAGTACATTTCCATAGGTTCTACATCCTTGGGTTTAATCAACTGAAATTGGAATATACTTGAAGAATATGGGTAGACTGCACTGAACATGTGTGGACTCTTGTTCTTGTCATTGTTCCTCAAACTACACATCATAAAATCTAAATACTTATCATTTCCATTGCTCTGGGCACTTTAAGAGGCCTATATGCAATTTAGAGTATATAGGAGGACATGTATAGGTTATATACAGAAACCCCATCCTTTTCTGTAAGGAATGTGAGCATTGACAGAACTTTGTATGTGAGGAGATGGCCTGACTATTCACCTTGAATAGTGATGTACAACAATACACGACATGGAAAAAGTAGGCAGAAAAAACATTGCTTTTACCTCTCAGATTCTGGAGATTAAAGTATTCTAAACTTTTCAAATTCTTAGTCACATGTTCTTAGCATTTTTATTTTGTGTCCAGCTAACATATTTGTATACTTTGAGTTGGGATGTCTAGAGTATGCAAACCCACCTACTGCCTAACAAAGAACGTTTATGCTTCCATGTATGTGTTGATTAAACATCAGTAATGGAAAGAATCCATCATCCAGAAGTCAGCATACTCATTGTTCAATGTCCCAGACTGCTTGGTTTTTAAAGCAGATTCAAATGGGCTTTCTGACTTTGAACCCGTGCAAGACCGGCTTTCTAAAAGCTGAGGCTTCCTTGTAGAGTGAGGTACTACATCTCTACTTGACGTGGTTAGCAGCACTTACAGTGATACCACAATAGAGGTGACCACCAGGGAATGATTGCAGCCTACACAGGAATGAGCATGTTTGGTTCACAGTCAGCATGCTTTGGGTTCACAACCCATGCTTACCTTGCTTGTGCAGTTCACCAGTGTTTGTGTGCCTTGGGAAACTGTTAGTAAGTGGATATTGAACTCTTCACTGATATTCATTTTCAGAAATTGCTTCAATTTACGAGCAGCACGATTTAGAAAAGCAGCTTCCTAAGAAAAGAATCCAAAAGGGCTGTGGTGAGAAATTTTAGTTTCTCAATTAATATAAAGCTAGAGCCCTGTCTCTGAGTAAAACTCCACCTCCACCCCAGCTTTCACTTCTGGTTAATCATGTGACTGACGAGTAACAGAATGAAACTGCTTGGCTCTGAGAAGACAGAGAACATGAAGTGCCTAGACTCTGGTTTAATGATTATCTGGCTTTGAAATAGCCGTTTCTCCAGTATGTACATGTGGCTTTATCATTTATGGGTGAATGCGTTACAAGACAATATACTTTTCACAGGGTAACCAAAGAAGAAGGCTGCTGCAAACATTAGTGAGGAAAGGTATGTGTGCTTTCTCTGGCTACCATTTTTGAAAATTAGAGTTCTGGAGAATAGGTGATAGTAAAATAAAAAAATAAAGAGCCGTGTAACCTAAGACATAGGCTTTTTAGATAAATTAGTCAATAAGTTAATACATAAAAAGAATGTATGGTTTTGTGATACTGTGGTGTTAATAGCTACATGAGTTGTAGAAAGACTATTAAGGAATATCTCTGTTTCTTTGGGGGGAAGTTACAAACTTTTGAAGATATTTTTTTCATTGTAACTGACTAACTAGAGCTGATTTGGGCATAAACTTCAGCAAATACTAAAAAAAAATTTCAAACTGTCTAAAACTAAATGGTGTGTGTGTGTGTGTGTACATGTTCAATCATTTAGCAAGATCTTTCCTTCATAAGATTTTTTTTCGGGGAGAGACATTTGTGCCTTTATATTTTTAGTATTTTCAAGATGAAAAACAGGAAAGTAGAAGAACAAATTATTATCTACTTTTTAATCTATTGAGGACAGGATGTTTGTAAAATTAACAATAGACTACAGTATAATATAATAGATGAATGATAATCCTGTCATTAAGATAAAAAGATTATGGCATTAATTTAATTATCTAACAAGTTTGTATAAAATCAATCTCATATAGCAAATTCCAAATTATTATTACCTTTGTATCATCACATGGATGTTTTTTAAAAAAGTTTGGTTCATTATTTGGGCAATTGTTTCCAGTTCCTGTCATTTTGTCCTGTAATAAATAATATAAAACAATATGGTTAATGCTGAGGATGTCTCTAACATGTAGTCATAAAAGAACATTTTAATATCTGGCATACATATGAACACTTTAAGGAAAGTAAATTTGCCTAGCTCCACTTACTGGGCATCAAGAATAGTTTTCTTTACATGAAAAATAAGGAAATATGTACAGTAGCACCTCAAATCAAATTCAGAATCTTTTAAGAACTAGTTGGACTAGCTCTGTCCAACAAACTGGCAATTCCAGGCGATCATACTTCTTCTTCTTTTTTTTTTTTTTTTTTTTTTGCGATCATACTTCTTGAAGACTTCAGACAATCTTAGTCTGCTTGATATTGTGAGAGCAATAAGGAGAAGAAGGGCCAGATTAGTAAAGGGCTTGTAATGTCCACCTACCACTCAGGAGTGTGCGTTGGTCTTATTACTCATACAAAGAACATGTGGTTTCCTGACTTTAAAATATATGTTTGACTGTTTTACCTGTAGGAAGTTGTGTCTGAATACATAATTGTTTAAAGATTCAGTACTTAGTGATGGCCATTCAAAGTTTTCTGCAAAACCCTGTATTGAAGCTAATTTAAGGGAATAGTGACGTTGTTTCCCGTGGCATTTGGCACATGGTCACTGCATCCTTGGAACATGGTAACTTCTTACCTTAGGAAAAACATGCTTTTGGAGATGTATCTGTGCCAACCACATAGCATGTAGTTCATACTCTAAACATCACAGTTGTAAGACATATATTTCCTAAAACTATCATCTTATTATAACTAAAGGTAGTAAAAAATTATTTGTCTACTAAGTCAGTTTTCTATCAACTTTTATTTAATCCCAAGAATGACATCAAATTGCATATACACTTTTCTTTGGTAAAACATACAAAATCTCATATGTAATATGTCAAATAATTAAATCCCTGGAACATTCTAGCAAATTTCATAGCAATATTTGAAAATCCTTTTTGGTTAGAACAATGCTCTGGAAAACTAATAAAATTCAGTTTCATATGCCTGCAGAAGAGAATGTTGTACAGATTGACTTGTCACATGTTTGATCAAGAATTAACGAGGATGCTACTATACCTTTGACATGGGCAAATAAGATGTCAGAGTTGCCTTCTGAAGTTACTACTTATGCCTATCAAGAGCAGCTCTGAGTATGAATTCATAGTAAAAGAAAACAGTTCCTATCTCACAGTTTAGCAAGTATCAGCATAATAGATTCTTATAAGCATTTTGGTTCATTTAAACATTATTTTCAGTTTATTATAAATATGGAAAACCACAGTAGAAGAGCAAAGACACTGTGAGCTATAGTTGGAATTATTCCTAGAAAAGGTCTTTGATTTCATTAGGTTGTGCCTTTCAGGTTTTTTTTTTTTTCCCTATTACTTATTTAACCCTCTTGTCTTAATTATTGTTCTGCTGCTGTGAGGAGGCATTAGGATCAAGGCAACTCATATTTAAAAAAAAGTATCAACTGGGGGCTTGCTTAAAGTTTTAGAGGTTTTGTCCTTGACCATCATGGCAGGAAGCAGACAGTCATGGCACTGAAGTAGTAGCTGACAGTTTTACATCCTGATCCATAAGCAGAGACTAGGCCTGGCATGGTGCTTGAAACTTCAAAGCCCTCCCTCACCTCTCCAACAACGCCACAGCTGCTAATCCTTCACAAATAGTTCCACTAACTAGTAACTAAACATTCAAGTCTATGAGCCAACTGGGGCCATTCTCATTCAAACCACCACATTCCACTCCCTGGTCCCCATAGGCTGGTAGCCATATCAGAATGTAAAGTGCATTCAGTCCAACTTCAAAAGTCTCCATAATCTTTCAGTCTCAAGACTAAAAATTCAAAGTCTCTTTGAGACTTAAGGCAATCCCTTAATTTTAAAACCCTGTAAAAGCAAAAATCAAAATGCCAATCACAAACTTCCAACATACGGTGGTACAAAATATACATTACCATTCCAAAAGGGAGGTACAGGAACATATTAATGAAACACTGGACCAAAGCAAAACTGACACCTAGCAGGGCAGACTCCAAATTCTGCATCCCTCTGCCCAATGTCAAAGGGCTGAATAGATAGCTCTTCATATCTCCCACACCTTCCAACAGTGCTGACTGAAACACACTTATCTTTCTTGGGCTGGTTCCACACACAGTGTCACTTCTCTTCTTGGCAAATATACTAGGCTGTAGATTCTCCAACATCTTAAGATCCTCATCACAATCCAGGCTTCACCTTCACAGCTTTACAGAATGGTCTCCCTGGGCCTCTGTGCAAGGACTCCCTTGCCACATGCCTCACCTCAACAGCTTTTCTCAACCATGGAGGGAGATTCCATAATCCCTTTCCTGTATTGTTCTTGATCTAAAGCCAGAAGAACTACTGTTTGCTGGAGTTGGAAACAGACTCTAAAGTCATAAGTTCTCCTGCTTGCTAGAGTTGGAACCTGGTCCCTCCTTGAATTATATTTGCATAAGCCTTCCATTGTTCAGGCCAAGGAAATCCTTCAGACCTTTTCCTTTCACAGGTTGCAGGATTAGCCTGGACGTATCTTGCCCAGAGGTTACTGCTCCCTTTATTCCATCCAGCATCAGGCCTTTAAGCTTCTCATCTGCTTGAGTGCCAGTACAAAATTTCTTGGTTCTCTTTTTCTCTTTAAGCTGTACATTTTGTATTTCTCTTTGCGCTGCTTGCTCCTCTTCATTGTGGGTATGCATGAGTGATCACTAATAACCACTAGACACAGTCCATACTACACTGTCTTGAAATCTCCTCTGCCAATAATATTATTACAAAATTCTTCAATTTAGCCTCTGGTGGATTTTTTTTGACAAGAGCAGAAAGCATTCATATTCTTTGCCAAAATATCACAAGAATGGTGTCTAGTGCAGTAGATGCCGTTTTCCTCCGAAACTCCTTGAGCAGTGCCTGCCTGCATAGTCCAAACTGCGCTCAGCACTGCTGTCTTCCATGTTTGTACTAAGATGGCCCATCAAACCCCGCTTAAATAGTCAACTGACTTTTCTTGTCCAAAGTGCCAACGTCATCCAAATTCTTCCAAACAACAGCATGGTCAGGCCTGCTACACCTTTATTTGCAAACACTAATAATAGGACATACCTTCTATATCAGTTTTATTAATTATTTTGCTTTATGTGTGCTTTTCTACAAAATATTATATATGATTACTTAATGAGGCACTAATTTCCAGTTTATATTTTAGTCTTCATTTTTTCTTGAAAGTCCAAAGAGCTCACCATTTTTCCAATTTTCATTTCTCTGGTATTATACTAATTTTGTCATCTTTTATGTTAGTTTCTTAAAGAATGTTAAGAAGAAAAATGTTAGCATTTTCTTGTTGTTTGAATCTTAGAGGGTCCTTCAATAAAAATCCCAGAGCCAGATATCAGGGTGAAAGCTGAAAGATCAGAGAAGCAGAACAGCCAGCCATTAGTTCTTACCTTTATGAAATGCTCAGTCTAAAGAGAGTGAGTTCCTGTTTCCTCACACTTACATACCTTTCTCTGTCCTGCCATATTGCTTCCTAGAATTAAAGCCATGTGTGCTTCCCAAGCAAAGGCATGAGATCTCAAGTGCTGGGATTAAAGGTGTGTGCCACCACTGCCTGACGTCTATGTCTAATCTAGTGGCTGGCTCTGTCCTCTGATCCTCAGGCCAGTACACAACGTATCACCACATTTTCTAATGCTTTTATAATTAATCTATTATTTATTTTGCATGTGCAGATGACAGAATACAGGTGTGTGCTTACAATAGCACATGTATGGAAGATAGAGGACAACTCTGGAGAGTTCTTTCCTATCACCTTGTGAGACCCAGGGATTGAACTCATGTCTGTAGGCCAACACACAAATACTTTCACTACTAAGTCATCTCATTGGCCCTAATATTTTTATTTAAATTCTTTTTACTTTGCTTATATATTTTGTTCATTTCTTCATTTTTGCTGGAGTCAATAAATAGTACTTCTGACTTTCTAAGTGGAGGCTAAAGTTATTTTATTTTTCAGCTAATACTTAGCAGTGCCTCCCACCTCATGGGAAAATGGGTCCACTTCCCATGGTTGCTTTAGCAAATTATCAGAAATATGTTAGTTCAAAAAAATAAAAATGTATTCTGTTATATTCCTAGAGATGAGAAATTTAAATCAAAGTATTGGCTGAAGGTTCTAAGTGAAGATTCATAATCTGGCTCTTCTATCTACTGCTGGTTTCGAGCATCCCTTGTGTTCCTGGCTTATGGCCACATCACCATAGACATCATGTATGTCTCTGGTCTCTCAGGTTTCTGTCTTTTAAGGACATTTACAATAGCAGAGCTCCTCTGATTTGTGCAGTATAATTTTCCCATGTCAAATCTTTGATTTGGTCACATTTCCAAGACTCTTTTACTATAAATATCCAGGGACTAAAATTTGGTGTGTTTGGATGACATAATTTAACTTACTACTGAGAAGTATGTTGTCTGCCCATAAATATTGGATTTGACCTAAAGACTGACTTTTCAGTAGTGGACATGAGCAGATTAGACCATAGTACAATTCACTCTAGAAATTGGTCTCTTCTTATTTTTTCTATATGGGGACAAGCATCAGGAAGCAGCTGGTTCATTATCTATCACCACATAATAAATTTTAGTAAAGGTAGTATAGATAATAAAAATTTATCCTATGTAATTTCTGAAGTTAGAATTTGGGAGAGGCTTCCGGATCCACATCTGCCATGAAACACAGTTAAGATGATAGCCTTGTCCATAGTCATCATGTTTCAACTAAAATTTGAGTATTTACTCTTAGGGTGTCTTATTTATGATAGGAGCTCTCAAGGTTTTACCACAGAAGCCTTTATTCAGGCTTTCTTGAGTCCTTAAACCTAGTGTCTTGCTTTTCTTCATTGTTCCACACCCCAAAGAAAGAGGCTTTCTACCTTTTCTGATTCAGTTTTAGATGTCACACACTG